ATGGTGAACTGCTGGCACAGATCCTCCCAGGAGTGGACCGACGCGGGTGGCAGGTTCATTAGCCAACCCCGCGCCTGTCCCTTCAGGGCCATGGGAAAGAAATTCGCCTTGACCCTGTCGTCTCCCCCAGCGGCCTCGATCCCGGTCGTATAGACCTGGAGAAACTCGGTGGGGTTGACGCTCCCATCATACTTCTCGGTGATGGTGGGCCGGAACCTTGGGGGCCAACGGACATTCCGAAGACTCGCCACAAAGGCTCTACAGCCAACACCACCAACCGGGGGCACGGAGGGCTGATCCTCACGTCCATGTCGAGGTGACACCCTGGACGAAGAGGCACCCTCCGTTGCGCGGGGAGTACGCCGATCACTACGTCGGCGCTCAATGTCGAGGCGGGCATCCGGCTCTTCATGCTGATCCTCCCGAGTCGGAGGCGCCGACGAGGGAGTGGTAGCCGAATGGCGTGCAGCGGCCGCCGCTCGCCGCGCTCTCCGTCTTGACGACGCGGAACCGGTAGTGGCGGCGCCGGAGGTCTTGGTGGTGGCGGACCGTCCGCCAGCACCCAGGCGTTGCTGTGCCGTCATGACCAAGTTGGCCACGTCGTCCAGCCATCGCTGGGCTGGAGACTCCGGGTCAGGGACGACAGGCGGGTGACGTAGGAGCGCGCCAACAGCCTGAAGCGCGCCTTGAGGCGTGCTGCCGTCGCCGTAGACGAGGAGGCGACGCTCCCCATCTCGCCGTTCTCCTGCACCACCCGCGACTGGCGATGCTGCGGATTTTTCGACTCTCTCGAGCGCCTCCCCCCGCTTGGGACTTTGGCGTGGAGGAGGTGGGGGAGTACGAGCTCGACGGCGCGGGTTTGGCTCCCCGTCGTCGCCGCTCACACTCGGAGAGAGGTCGTGCGCCTTTGCTTGCTCGGCCATTAGGCTGAACAAGGGAAACTTGGTGCACACGGAAGAGTATGAGAGCTCAGAAAACACACGCTGAGCCCCTTACCTGGCGCGCCAGATGACGGAGCTCGTTGCCCCTCACCGGGAGACTGCGCAAGCCCCCCTTTGCCGGTTCGACCAGGGGCTTAGGGTGCAATCCCAAGCTCTCTCTCTCTCTCTGTATGTGGAAAGATCACCCGCCCGCAAGACACACGAGACACGGCGATGTATACAGGTTCGGGCCGCTGCGAAGCGTAATACCCTACTCCTGTGTTTTTGTGGATTTGTGTATGGACCAGTTACAAAGGATTAACTTCCTTTCCCCTCAGCCTTCCAAAAGGGAAAAGTCCCCTCTCTAAATGGGCAAGGTCCTCCTTTTATATCTCAAGGGGATACCACATGCACCTTTCTCTTTCCAAACTGGACTGTTCTTTTTCTCTTTAATGGGCGGAGATCGGTACGGTTTCCATCCGGGAGCCCTTCTGATGGGACAGCCCACACCTACCCCCACCTCCCCCGAAGACAGAGATGACGCGGGACCGTGGCTGTCTGTCGATGACGCGACCAGTGCCAGACCGGTCATTCTTGTCCACCACGCGTCAGCTTAACAACGTGCATGTTTGCCCTTCTTCGTGTAACACCTTGCCTGTAATGGTTAGGATGAAGCCTGGTATAAATCTGACCAGGGCTAACGTGCCATCTCTAAGAGATAACACGCTAGCTCCGGCTTGAGACGAGTGCCTAGAGGCTTTCGTCTTGACGGGATGGGGCAAGGCGTGCGTCAGACCGCCAGTCGCCACCTAACCCGTGATCTGACCGGTCTGTGACTGGTCACAGACCGGATAAAGGAACGCGCTGTACTGCGTTGCATGCAGCGTGACACGCTTTGACCAGACTGCAATAAATGCTGTTAGGTGAGCACAGCTGTGCTCACTTATCCCATATATGTGGCGCAGACTTCCTTAAGGGGTCGGGGTGCCTCGGCCCTCGGGGCCGGGGCAAGCGCAACCCCGACCCCCCCTCGGGGGAAATCAGGAGGAGGGCGGACACCTCACCCTCGGGCCCGACGTCCCCGAAGGTGCCAGGCCACGTGGGCGATTGCGTCTGCCTCAAGCCTCTGGTCATGATACTCCCGGTCCCATATCACCGACAACATGCAAAATGAACAATTTCCTAATTGGTTCAGAGATCATGTAAGTATCAAAATTTAGATTTTTCTTTTCAAATATGAGTAAAACTAATGTATCTTTTGGTGTGGTGTAGATCTTTGCAGTTGGAGAATCAAAGAGGTATTGATAGCATTGATGAGGATATTAGATGGTTGGCACGTGGACCAATTGAGGTAGCAAAACGACATAGAGCATTCAATACCCGTGGGTACAGGTTCAGATCAAAGCGTTATGACAGGGTGACTCAAAATAGTGGAGTTGTTGTGACTGCAAAAACATCGAGCTACACGTCTGCGAGTGATACCAACCCTGTCCTTGGTGATATCATGTATTACGGAAAGATACTTGATATAATTGAGTTAGACTACTATGGAAATTTCTCAGTTGTGTTGTTTAAATGTGAATGGGTCGATGTAACTAAAGGAAAAAGAGTGAAAACAGATAAGTTTGGCTGCATACTTGTGAATTTCTCAAATAAAATTCATACCGGTGAAAAGATTGAGCATGAGCCCTTTGTATTTGCAAATCAAGTCGACCAAGTGTTTTACATTGAAGACCATTTAAATCCAGGGTGGTCTATTGTAAGGAAGATGAAACCCAGAGATGTATTTGAACTGGGCGAAGAATGGAATGATGTGGAATGTGAACCATATCATGTCAATAATCTTGGGGAGCTATTTGACAATGCACATGATGGTCAGACATGGGTCCGAAGAGATATAGAAGGAACAACTGTCGATAACATGGTAACTAATTAAAGGTGAGGTTATGAAGGTTGTTCTCTGTCTATCTGTCCATTATCACTGATTTCCTTATATCGTTGATATCCTCACTTGGCGAGCTCTTTATTTTTATGGCAGTAATTTTGGATGGAGATTTACTGGGATCGAGGCTTCTTCACCACAATAGCTTTACTGTGTCGTTCGTAGATTTCATTGGATTGTCCAAGTGATTGAGCCAGATGGATGCATTTTTTTTATTTGCATATATGCTTTGTGTAATAATGTTGTACATTAGTTATATACAGAATTGGTGGTTAGATCTTATTTTTCAATATATAAGATATCATATTGTTTATATGATGAGAAAATGGAATGGCCGACTATATTTTTTGCATCTATCTGTGTTGTGTTATTCTATTTCCATCTTATACAAATTCCTCGAGAAAACTATTTACATTGTCAATGGCACCTAACGTGAATAAATAAATAAAACAGACTTCTCCAATGTGAAGTGGACATAGCCTAGTGGTACTTGGCTGTTTCTACTGAATTGAGGACTCCAGTTCAAATACTAGCAAATGCATATTTTTTTTCATTTCTTCTCTAGTGGCGATTCCTAAAACTTTTTAAATTCTGTCTGCTCAGATTTTTTTAAATTTCTTGAACTTTTTTATTTCTAAATTTTAAAATAAACCATTCAAAAATATATTTTTAGAATATGTGGTTTTTCGCTCGTCCTAACATAATTTAAATAACTATTAAGAAAAAAAATATGTTACGTCCAAATTTCACGCGGTCTATCCTAATCGGGTCGACAACGAAATAACACGTGGCTTTTTTGTGGTGCTAACATAATTTAAATAACTATTATTTTAAGACAAAAAATATGTTACGTCTAGATTTAATCCGCGGTGTCTGGACCACAAGTGTTTTTTCGGTAGCGCTAACATAATTTAAATAACTATAATTTTAAGACAAAAAAATATATTACGTCCGGAATTTATTCGGAATGTCCGGACCGGATTGACAATGAAAAAACAGGTGATTGTTTGGTAGTGCTAACATAATTTAAATAACTATAATTTTAAGACAAAAAATTATGTTACATCCGGAATTTATCCGGTCTGTCCGGACCGGGTCGACAATGAAAAAATAGGTGATTGTTTGGTCGTGCTAACATAATTTAAATAACTATATTTTTAAGACCAAAAGTATATTACGTCTGTTTTTCATGAGGTATGTCCGGACCAGGTCGATGACGAAAAAACGCATGCTTTTTCGGTCGTGCTAAGATAAATTAAATAATGATTATTTTAGGACAAAAAATTGTTACGTCTTGATTTCATCCGGTCTGTCCGGACCAGATTGACAAAAAAAAACGTTTTTTCGGTCGTGCTAAGATAAATTGAATAACTACTATTTTAAGACAAAAATATGTTCTGGGCCGAGTCAACAATGTAAAATAAAGTGGTTTTTTTTCGTACTAGGATAAATTAACTAACTACTTTTTTATTAAGACAGCAATATGTTACGTCTGGATTTCATCCAGTCTTTCTAGACCGGGTCTACAATGAAAAAACACGTGATTTTTCGGTCGTGCTAAGATAAATTAACTAACTACTATTTTAAGAAAACAATATGTTACTTTTGGATTTTATCCGGTCTCTCAGGACCGAGTCGGCAACGACGCGGTTTGTATTAGTAGAAAATAATTTTTACTAGTGCATTTATGAAGTTTTATAACTAGTTCTTATTGATCCGCACAAAAATAAATTAGCTGAACTAGATTAGATAACTGGAGGTTAAATCTGCCCTAAAAAAATCGAGCTTAAATTTACTTGATGTGAATTTAACATTTTGTGTATTTGCGCAAATTATTTTGCTCTCCCTCCATTCTTTCCCTCTTTTTTCAGTCTTATTCCAAATCATTCCCTCCGAAAAATTGAGCTTAAATCTACTCAGTCAGAATTTAACATTATTTTTATCTCCGACAGAACGTTTGCTCTCGCTCCGTTCTTTCCCTCTTTTTTTTTTTCAGTCTCACGTTATTTTCCAAATCTTTCCTTCGAAAAAAATGAGCTTAAATTATTTTGCTCTCCCTCCAGTATTTTCGGTCTCAATATTTTTTTTCTCACGTCTTTCGTTGTCGCGCCATTTATTCCCTCCATTTTATCCCTCCAAGAAAATCTAACTGCCCGTGAAAAACTCTATCTCCTCTCTCTCCATTCTCCAACAAAGAGCTCGTGGGTGGGTTTTCTTCTCCAACGAAACTCTATCCCCTCTCTTCTTCTCTCTGCACTGCTCCTCCCCTCAGGCCTAAGCCAGGCACCAATCTGAAGGTAAGGCACCATGGTGATTTGCTGGCCAGCCGCTCCGCGTGTCCACACCTCTCCCAATCTGTGTTGGCTGCCATCCTCTGCACCTACGCCTCCCCGCCGACCAACAACCCTGAGTAGGCGAGCTCCCCCACGGCCGCTGAGGGCCACGCGGCGACGCCTCATGCCCGGTGGCTGTGCGCTGCACCGCTAGTGCGGTTTTGCCTCCCCAGCGCCTACGTCTACACCGCGCGCGCAGCCCACGGCCCTGCCGCCATGCTCCTGCATCTCCGCCTCCCTTCCTAGTTCCTACACGTTTCACTGCTCAGCTGTGTTGCCAAATCACACTCGGGCCTAATTCCATTTCAGCACTATACTACATTACTAATTTGATATATATGTTCTCTGTATGCAGGTTTTGGATCAGATGCAGTGATCAATCCTAGGTGACAGAGCCTATTAGGCTAGAACAGACCAATAAGCAATCCAATGTGTGATCTTTTTATATTCCTCTGTCCTGGATGTTGCAATCTAGCCGAATAAACCACTTTTGCTTTTGATCGTTCACTGTCCATCTATGCATTTTATCTCCTTGCGTCAAATTAAATTTTGTTCTTTCTATCAATTACTTGTTTCAAATTGTTGGCCAATTAAAATGGACAAAGGAATTAGTGACTGGCAAATAAATCCAAATTGGAATTAGTAAATTTATTGTTCAATTTTTAATGTGTTGACACCTCTATTTGAAAATTGTTCATTAGCTAACAGAGGTATCTAATAACCTGTAGGCTAGCACCTTTCTCATCAATACAAACCATAGTGGTACTTTTTTGGACAACAGTAGAGTAAAATGCCTAAAGTTTTAGCCAATTCTGAAATTATTCTTCTAGAGCAGTAGAGAAAAGTGGTACTCAGACTGCAATACATAGGTTTATGCTATTTTTGTTTTGGTGCAGCAGATATGGCAAGGAGTAGAAGGCGGTGCATTGTTCAAAGCCATGAGGAATATTTGTCAGAGGAACACATTGCAGAAGAAAATGCCCCTAAACAGCTTGCCACACCATCTGAAGAGAAACAATATGCAGTGATGTTCAAGAGGGTAATGAAGATACTGATGACGATGTTGGAGAAGTCAATGAAGATACTGATGACGATGCTAGTATGAATGCTGGAGAAGGCAATGAAGAATCTGATGATGATGTTAAAATTAATGTTCGAGGTAAATACTAAATCTTGATGGTAAGAAATAATGAAATTATTCTTCTTATCCTGGACTGTTGAGCATCACTTTTATCTTTGCAATTTAACATTGAACAGATGAAAATGGAACAATTGAAACACGTGGGAAGACAAAACTGAAAGATATTTGGAACCTTCCGAAAGGTCTTAGGATTGTGGTTCAGTGCAATGATCTCAATCAGGCAGTAGGAGATGAAGCTGGAATTTTGTCTAAATTTCTTGGAATGGTAGCTAGGAATGGTACTTTGTGTAGCTTAAGCTACACAGACTGGAGATTTCTAATAGGAAAGAGAGAGAGAAAAAAAATGAATTAAAAGTTAAAAAGGACATTCTTAAACAAATATCCATGTTCAGGACAAGGTTTTGCAACTACCAACCAAGCAATCTACTGTAGATAAGGTCATTCTCTTCCTATTTGTTATGTCGAACTCACTACATAGCATTATATGATCTCAATATTGTTTGCAACTGTCAACGTTTATTGTAGCTGTTCATTACAATCTTATGTCTTATCTTATTACACAGCAATCAAACTTATGGCCAAAATCACCTTGAGAAACAGAGGAAGATTATTTGTGTGAAGGCTAGTCTTCACTTTTTTATTGATTGGAACTGACAGTGTTTGATTATAAAAATAACTAGATTATTGTAGTTTGTGCCAATATTTTGATATTCCGTGCAGAATAAAGGAAACATGAACCAGAATGATCACATGCAACAAGGGAAGAATAATTCTAATGCTTATAAGGTAAATTTTCACTTCTGGAGCCACCTAATATAAAGATAAGCTATAGAATTCTATTTGGTATAATATGTTTGTACTTTATAGTTAAATTATTGAATCTTGATCCAAATAACTTTGTACAGAAACAACAGTGCAACATAGTGGACATTATGGATGCCAATTCATTGGAGGTAAAACTTTTAATATGATGTTCTTTTCCATACTTAATTGCTCTTTATATAGAGATAATGCTGATGGACATATATTTATGCACCAGATTGGAACTAATGTATTCTTGAAAAGCTGGAAAAATCGAAATAAGAATGTGGTTGTTGCTTCAATTGTAAGCTGTGATCCAACACGCAAAGTTGCAGGTATTGAGCTAGGAACTGAATACTTGATGGTGCATGTTCATTTTCCATTGGCAAAATATGAAGAATTGATCAGGCCATACAAAGGCTACAAAATTATTGGCAATGTCGTACGACTTGATATTGCGTGGCCAGCAATTTTTGTACGGTGCTATTTCTCAAATTCTTTAGATGTGATCTTCTTTCTTCCAATACTGTATCAATGGTTGTTTTTTTTTCTGTTACAGGTTGACAAGATAAATGGATCATGATCTGGGGCAATATGGTTACTACAAGGTGGACAACTGTCATCTAAAGATCCCTTGTGAATATGATGATGACTGTAATGTGGAAGATGGTGGCAATGATAGTGGCAACTTCAGATGCATGTTTTTTTTTCTATAGTTTAGATTACATTTGTGCATGATGTTCTGAACAAAATTTAATGTCATGACTTATGAGGATGATTTTCCATGTAATACAAAAAATTCTCTTTAATTACTATTAGTTTTATGAATGACTTAGTTTTTCTCATGTGTACATCATTTGAGTTTATGGGCCTCTAACCCAACAAGATAATTGTGCAAAGGCATGCTGGAATGAATAGTTGCCTATATTGCAATACTTATAAGTGTTGGTGCAACTTGATTATAGCCATTGCAAGGATTATATATAATTGTTCATCACCGAAACTGCCAACGCATACAAGTATGGCTGAAAACTATTTACTTTGTTGCTAACTAGCAATGTTTATTCTTACATGTTACCAACGATTGTGTATGTGTTGTTATTGGTGCTAGCAACAGCAGCATAGGTAACGCATATTAAATGCGTTGATACAGACCCTAGCAATGCTTATTTTCACTTTTTGCAATACATATATGTATTGCTAAAGGGAGGTTCCTCTTGTAGTGCCGCCGCTCGCCCAACAGTGCCGGTAAATGGGAATTAATATGACTTGTGAGCCCTGTTTTTTTTTTTTGCTGATTGGATTTCCACGTCAACGCCTTGTAGGATTGAAACCGCTCCGAATCTAATAGGATGGTAATTTGTCCGGTTTCAATAGTTTGAGGTTTAATATGTCTGGTTTTGTGGTTCGGAGGGAGGGGGTAATTCATACTTTTTCCAATAATAAATACTAAAAGGTCTGTACTAAGCAAGAAATGTCACAAAATAGTAGTACAATATACTAGCAAGGAATAAAAAAAAAATATTCGTTCTCTTCGCTATGTGTTGATTCTGTCATGGCAAAATTTACTACAGGACACTCAAACATTGTGTAATTTGAAATTAGATACTGTTAAAACGTGTCATGGCTAAAAGATACTTGAATAACTAGTAATTTACTGGAGGACACTTTCAGCTCAATTGAAGAGAAATTATTGAAAAAAAATGAGAATGCCGATAGGGTCAAAAACAAATACAGTGTATGCTAGTGATATACTTGTGGTGATGGTAAATTTAGAGTTGCACAATTTCTTAAATTTTACTTTATTGCCGTGTGTTGGTATTTCTTACTACATTACTGCAGAAATATTATGGTTACAGAGTTTATCCGCAAGCACACGTATATACCATTGTAGCATTTCACCCAAGAGTATTCCAAGGGTATCGTATTTGTTTAATCTCGTGGGAAGATCATAGTAGAAAGAACCGTACTAATAATTTATATGTTACTTGTAATAATCATAGTCTAAGCAGGGGTTAATATAATCCAAAGGATAGGTTGACACACAAGCATAGCACTACTCATTCTCATACTAAATTATCTAAGCTAAGTGGAAAGAAAATAGAAAAGAATCTATTCCTATACTTCTTGTATACAAATTATACATACATTCTAATTATACGATTAACTAGCTAATACCCTCTTTCTGATGCCTTTCTAGTACTTCGAGAAGCCACCCCTAACTGTCGAGTTCCTTACGACAGCCCGTCGTAACCATACAACCGGGGCTAAATACGGAGGAGTACCCTTCCCATGAAATTAACTTAGGACTATATACACGCGCGGAGGAATACCCGTAGTGAGCTATCACCATCAGCGACCCACCTCTCATCCGCAGCATATAACCCCAAATAATGATACCCAATAATCTAGACACTACGCCTAAACTACCAGATACTACTCTAATATCATCGTCATGACAGAGAATAATTGCAATAGCAAACATTATACCCGTACCTATGCAACTCCCAGATAAGCTAGCAGTATAATCAGTATAACATGAACATAAAGCAAAGTTGGCATTCGTATACTCAGAAAGTATTTCAATGCAAAAAAAATGTATAAAGACGAATATTCTAAACAAAGTACAAATCTTACAAAAGAGGAAAGGAGAGCTACTAGAGTCATACCCGAACTCTTCCGAAGACTTCCAGACTCCGATTTCTATTCTATTCCTACTCCACTAGCTTCATACTACTAAACTAAACGTGAGAGAAATGAGAAAGCTCATGCTTGAAGTGTGTGAAGAAATGAAGAGAGTGAGCTCCTTAAATAGGCAGGTAATGACGGTTATGGCAGTTGGAAAGGTCGGTAATACCCTCCGACCGCCATATCCAACAACATATGGCTCTTGCACTGTCTCATGTTGGGACTATCCAACAACATGTTCCCCAATATGTGTCCACATTATTAATTTGGTATCTCCATACCATGATCCATGAGACATGATCATCAATTAATACATGTACTGATCATTTAAACATATTTGTTCCACATATGATATTTGATAAGGGATCCTTTAGAAATAGTAACATACAACATAAAGAGTCTCATGAAAGAATCACATATTCATTAACCAATAATGAGTTATCTATTTCAAGGAATAATGTCGGATAAATATGTAAACATAGTATGTGATTCAATCATCTCTATGATTGCCTCTAGGGCATATCACCAACAGTCTCCCACTTGCACTAGAGTCAATCACGCATGTCTCTATTCCCATTGCCCTAGTGTGTGCCTCATGCTTAGGCTGAGAGAGTGGCTTTGTCAATGGATCTGCAACATTAAATCCATATGTATTTTGCATATCTTCACATCTCCTCTACCCACTATCTCGCGAATGAGGTGATACCGCCGTAAAATGTATTTGGAATTTTGATGCGATCTAGGCTCCTTTGCTTGCGCAATGGCATCACTATTATTGCAATAGAGGTTCACAGGGCTGGGAGCACTGGCCATCACACCCAATTGAGAAACAAATTTCTTTATCCAAATAGCCTCCTTTGCTGCTTCAGAAGCGGTAATGTATTCAACTTCTGTTGTAGAGTCAGCGACTATATCTTGCTTGGAACTCTTCCAGCTCACAGCGCCTCCATTTAGGCAGAACACAAATTCAGACTGCGGTCTAAAATCATCTTTATCGATTTGGATGCTTGTGTTGGTGTAACCATTTACAACGAGCAGTTCCTGTCCTCCATAGACTAGGAACATATCCTTAGTTCTTCTCAAGTACTTTAGGATATTCTTTATAGCAATCCAGTGACTCTTACCTGGATCTGATTGGTATCGGCTTGTTGCACTAATTGCATATGAAACATCTGGACGTGTAGATAACAGGCATACATGATGGATCCAATTGCCGAGGCATATGGATTCACACTCATCTTGTTTTGCTAATCAGTCGTTTGAGGACACTGATTCTTGCCAAGATTAATGCCATGTGACATCGGTAAGAAACCTTTCTTAGAATCTTGCATGTTGAACCTCTTCAACACATTGTCAATGTATGTACTCTGGCTTAATCCAATTAGCCTCCTTGATCTATCTCTATAGATCCTTATGCCCAGAATATATGCTACTTCTCCAAAGTCCTTCATTGAAAAACTATTTTCCAACGATGTCTTAACGGATCCAAGCATAGGAATATCATTCCCAATCAACAATATGTCATCTACATATAGGATTAGAAACACCTGTGCGCTCCCACTAATCTTCTTGTATACACAAGGCTCTTCTTCATTTTTGACAAAGCCCAACACCTTGGCTACTTCATTAAAACAAATATTCCAACTCCGAGATGCTTGCTTCAACCCATAAATGGATTTCTGCAACTTGCATATTTTTTAGCTTATTGTGGATCAACAAATCCCTTGGGTTGTGTCATGTACACATCCTCATCAAGATTTCCATTAATGAAAGTTGTTTTGACATCCATTTGCCATATCAAAAATCGAAATAGGCAGCAATCGCTAAAACAATCCGAATAGATTTTAGCATGGCGACTGGTGAGAAGGTTTCATCATAATCAACACCTTAAATTTGTCTAAAACCTTTCGCCACTGTCACGCGCGGAATTTCTATCCAAAATTCCAAACGCTTACATGTGTGTAAACCCTCGTACAAGAATCAGCCAAGGCACACAATAACAAATTGATAATAGAGTGCAATCATTACTCTAATTAATAAGCGAATATAAAGTTATTACAGAGGTAGATAGTTCCTCTCAAACAATAAAAATCCATGCAGCGGAAAAATAAGATGAACGGCGCAGACGACTCCATCCCACAAGCAGCTTGACCAGGGCTACACCTAATCCTCCACACCTTCAGCATCACTGTAGAACTCTTCGTCTGATGAATGATTGCAAGGTGAGTATATGACATACTCAACAAGTCACGCAGCAAATATGCAAGTGCAGGGAATAACAAAGAATGGCATAATATAGTCTCATTTGCATAAATGGCATTTAATAAATACTCCAGAATTTAATAAAATAGTAAAGTATTTAATTAAACAGTATTAATCCAACGCTATACAACATACCCGTTGCATAGGCCCAACCATTCTGAACAACCAATCCCGGCTACACAGTTCTACCTCCAAACCAGGAATATACCATTCCAAACCAGGAGCTAAACAAATTATTATCATCATCATTTAATATGGTGAGAGGTATGAAACTAAACATTATTAGACCCGCCCATAACCGCGGGCACGACTATTCGAATAGTTTTACTCTGGCCATGTCGCGCCCGGAAAAATTACCTTTTCCCAAACGCTAGTGTATTAATCCCCGTCCCAGGAAAAGCCGAGGTACACCACTCAAACATGATACAAAAGGCACATCTTTATTATATCGATAATATTTACATTATTACAAAGACACTTAAGGCCTGACAATCAAAAATAAACAGCAGCGGACTAGCGGGCCTACGGCTCCATCTTCACAGGCGCTCAACTGGGGTATAAGCTAGGAGTCCACTTAGGACTTCTTCTCCAAAGCTTCTCGTACTGAAGGGGAGGGAAGATAGAGCAAGAATGAGTACAACCACAGTACTCAGCAAGCCACACCGGGAGATGCATGATTAATGCAAGGGGGTACAAGGGGTAATAATATAGGGGTTAAGTTTTGCAGTAAACAGCATTTAAAAGTCACTTAGTTGCCCAAAGCCATTTTATAAAGACGATCCTAGAGCTACACTGTTATTAATCAAGGCCGTGAACCCTCACGAACCTGCCTTAACCCAAGGCCTACGATGATTCAGACCGAACTGACAACCCGACCTAGGTCCCAGCTTGTCCC